AATGGGCCGCACACTAGTAATAATGTGCTACAACGAGCCTAGAACTCAAGGTTCTCTCGCATTGTCTGATTTTGTTAGAGGAAGGATAGTTGGTCAAGCAGATGGTGGAATAATTCAGCGGTAAATTTCGCAGTATTTTGGAATCCCGCTTTCGACAGTCAACAGAATCATCGTGCAGTTCAGGAAACACGGCAAGGAAACAACTGAGCAGCATCCGGGTCGTCCTGGTCCATCGGAGAGGACAAAAAGGGCTGTCAAGAAGAGCATTGAAATGGATCCTAGATTAGCGAATGCAGAAGTGGCCAAAGTTGGTGGGATGAGCCCAAAATCTGTTCAATGGATTCTCCACAGATTGGATTATCGTTGCAGAGCAGCTAGATGGAAGACCTGCCAACATAGTCAGACGAAAGAAGTGGGCAAATGATATGATGACCAAGACTCTGGACTTTTGGAAGACTGTATTGTTCTCAGACGAATCAAGATTTGCTCAATTTTTGGACAGTGGAAGGATATGGGTCTGGAGAATGCCTCACCAAGAGTTTTGGCTCAACAGATTGCAGCCAACTGTGAAGCAAGGTAGTTTCAGCATGATGGTTTGGGGAGCTGTTTGGGTTGGTGAGAGATCGAGCTTAGTGGAGTGCGTTGGCAACATAAATTTTGCGAAATACGTCGAAATATTGGGGGAAAGACTGTTGCCACTTTATTCCTCGGGTTTCATGGACAAGAACACAACGTTGTTCCAGGAAGATGGAGCACCATGTCACACTATTAGAAACACTCAAAAGTGGCAGGAAGAAAATGGTATCCGAAGTTGCCCAGGCCGAGCCAATCTCCTGACATGAACCCCATCGAAAACCTCCGGGCCATACTCGACCAGCAATCAAGAAACAACCAAAAAACAACTTCGAAGAGCGATCTACTCCAAGTTTTGAAGCAAGAGTGGGCGAAAATCCCACAATCTAAAATTGACGAGATGATTCTCACGATGCCCCAAAAGATCAACGAACTCCACGAAGCGAAAGGAAGATATACTAGATATTAATTAAATTATGAATATATCAATTCATGTGAATATGACTGAAAAATTTCATTTTATCTGAAAAGGTTGTGTCTATTTACTTGTGACCACGCTGTGTATAGCACACCTATTTTTCTAGCCAGAAGTGGCCTTTGGGATGGGCAGCCTATGACATTACAGTTTTACAGGGGCTCCGAATACAGTAGAACCGATATAACGCCGTCAATGTTTGGCTCCCAATTTTCTATCGCTAAATTCGCGAGTTTTGACTATTTTTAATTAGGATTTTGTAAAGTGATGCAAGGATTTTTCCGAATTTTCTTTAAAAGAATTGTTCTTGTCGCGTTTGTTTTTGTGGGAAATGTTTTTTAGTCACGTGATCAAAGCGTGTTGCTTCCCAGAGGACAGTCCAGTTTATAACAGTTGAACAGAAAAGCGATTCTAACACAACCATTTTGTCTTCTGGTATTTTAAGGTGTTTTCTCTTAAATATGTGCGTAACCTTTGGTTTTAACGACTTAATTAATTTTTAAGGAACAACTAGACTTAGTTCGTATTCAGAAGTCGGCCGGAATGAGACAGTCAACATTAGACATTTTTTTGAAAATATAAAGAATGTATTTTTGAGGCACTTTAAACGTTATTACACTTTTTTAATGTAACTTTGTGTTTTTTATCGGCTGTAAGTTTTCTGTGTTTGATTTCTGTTCTTTAAACCGAGGCCTATAAATTGTAAGCAATGTTTAACATTTTATTTTCACGTACCAAGTGTTCGTCCATGTCAGAGATTATGAAAGAACTAAAAGAAGGTAAAAAACAGAGACAGAAAATTACAACACTCAGACAGAA